TAGTACAAATAATTTCTTACATTAAACCGACTACATGTATAGAAGCAACGCGCGGCTGTGTCCGGATGTTTCGATTGAAAAACATGGGTCGGGAAACCACAATCACAGTTAGGGACAGGAAGGTCAGGGGGAACAGGGGCATCTTTGCTAGACGCGTCGGGGTATAATTCGCGAGGACGACCCCGTTTTCGCCAAAACTCCTCCCGAAACATTTATTGCATCTAACAAATAGGATGTAATTTAGCAAACATAAATAAAAACATCACAACAAAATATCAGTGAGAACCATAACTACAATACAATCAATTTCGTTATAAGAACCAAAAGCAGTTAACATTATACCCTAAACCTAGGGTTTCTTATTTCATCCACAACAATAAAACCCATAACATAACTATATGCGGCTTGGTTTGCTAGCATTTTTCACGCCTTGAAATGAACCTACAGTTGTATAATACATATATTGAGGGATACAATGAAACCCTAAGTGATGACGATTCTTAGGTTCAAAAATCCGACTAATATATACCGAATCGATGCGAAAAAAACAAGGAGGGGAGCGAGGATACCTTGCTCTCGAAGATCTACGGATCAAATCAAGGTTTTCAAGGTCCAATATGTCGATTCGTGAGGTAGGATAAAGTGGCGAGAAAAAACCCGAGGAGAAAGAAGAGGAAGAACGCTCAGGGAAGAAGGCTGGGCGGGGGTTAAATGCAGGTAGCTCGGCGCCATAGTGAGTGGCGCCGAGCTCGGCGCCAAGATCTACAGCGCCGAGCTCGGCGCCATCCGCTCTGGGCGCCGAGCCCCTTGCAGCCGTTTCGCCGTGGCCGAGGCTGGAGCGCCGATCACCGTCATCAGGGCGCGGCGCGCCACTCACTCTGGCGCCGAGCCAAGGGTCCATTTCTGGAATTCTTTCCGCTAGGGGTCTATTTGAGAGAAACTTTTTAGAAAAAAAAAAAAGCCAAAAAGTAAAAAATTCGGCAGCTCCTACGCCGTGCATGCAGGGATGCCTGCGCTCACGGGCGCACCAGTTGTTGCGGTGACGGTGAGGTTTCAACGCCCGATCAAACGGTCCCGTCAGCATTAAGATGGAAGCCATCGGCAATGGCACTAGCAGAGCAGCTACTGCTCGGTTCATTTGTCGTTTCCATTTAGGTCTGGTTTGGTTGGTCAAATTTTTTAGAAAGGATATGGTAGCATTTTTGTTGTTATTTGATAATTAGTGTCTAATCATAGTCTAATTAGGCTTAAAAGATTCGTCTCGTGAATTTCGTCTAAACTGTGTAATTAGTTTTATTTTTTATTTATATTTTATGTTTTATACATGCGTCCAAAGATTCGATGTGACCAGAAATCTTAAAAAAAAATTGTAAAATTTTGGAAACTAAACGTGCACTTAATCTGGGGGCGCTGAGATCGGGCACTCACGGGCAATTCATTCGATGACTAAATGCTGTTTAACGGGAGGCCGATTGAAACCACCAATTTTTTTTTTTTCTTTTTCTTTTGGGACGCATGCTGACATGACTCGTGAGTCGTGTGTGTGAAGACTCCAAGGTGCATTCGTCCGTCGTGCACTCGTCACTCCTGGGGCACACAACTCACAAGCTCAACAGCTCTCCTGACTTGTCCAGTTGAGACTTGAGATGTTGATGTTTCAGTAATGTCAACTCTAGCAGGAACTAGTCTGACCTCTGCGTAATTGATGAATCGACGGCCACCAGTCCATCACATATCCACGTGCACTTTCAAGACTATGCAAAGGGCAAGCGAGAAATTTCGGTTTACCCTACTGCTCTCGTCGAACAGAGATAACACAAATATCTACAATGATACACAGAAATCAGTCGGAAGATCTGCCCGATCAACGAGATACGAGCAAGTTGAACACAAAAAGGAAGCAAAGGGTTCCTTCCTGAACGCTCTTCACTAGTCAATCCTCCTTCCTGCGGGTGCGGGTGCGGCCGTTGCAATCAGCTAAAGCGAGCATTTTTTTTTTTTGTTGTGGCTACGATTCAAGGCAAGAATACACGTGTATCTATTTCAATCCATGTATATTGGAGTGGAGTAGAATAACACTTCAATCCACTTTAACCCATGTGAATTAAGATAAATATATGCGCGGCCGAAGAAGAAGATTCCGATATTCTACAGCCAAGAGTACGACTGCTTTCACATGCAAGTCATCTGCACGTTCGCTGCTTTTATACATTAGTAGTATATACTCCTATATGTCTCGAGGCCACTCCATGGTCTCAGTTCTCAAAGTGTGCGTGGCTCGCCTCCATTTTTCAAAGTGTTCCAGCCAACCTTTTTCTTCTGAAATGACGCTGATCTGATGATGTCCATGTCCTAGTGGGTCCGAAACTTTTGGTTGTGGAAGGCAGGATCGGTTCCTGTCCTGCTGGCTGCTGTCATGTCTTACTTCCCTATGGCATAAGTTTAGCGGTGTCATCAATCAAGAAAAGAAAGAAAAAAAAATAGTACGTATCAGCGTAGAAAAAGGACCAGGGCCGTGTTTAGTTGCCCCAAATAATTTTGTTTTTATTTGGTAATAATTGTCCAATCGTTAACTAATTAGGCTCAAAACATTTATCTCGCAAAGTACAACCAAACTGTACAATTAGTTTTTGATTTCGTCAATATTTAGTACTCCATGCATGTACCGTAAATTTGATGTGACATAAAACCTTCTTTTTATATAGTGTTAAAATTGAGAATTTGGTAGAACTAAACAATATTGTCTACTAGTAGTAGTGTTGGCGATCCGCTTCGTGATCCGGACAGGAGCACGAGGAAACGATACGGCGATTCTGGGTGGAAGCCTCTGCGTATTTACGTGAACAGTGTGGCATTTATCGCGAACGAAAGAAAGAAGAAATTCCTCAGGAACATTGAGACCTCGTTTAGTTGCCTGGCATCGGCGCCGCCTAAATCACTGTAGATTGCTATAGCGTATTGTAGCATTTTATTTGTATTTGGTAATAATTATTCAATCGTTGATTAATTATGTTCAAAACGTTCGTCTCGTAAAGTACAACTAAACTGTGCAATTAGTTTTTGATTTCGTCAACATTTAATACTCCATGCATGTACTGTAAATTTGATGTGACAGAAAATCTTCTTTTTATCTAGTGTCAAAGATTAGATTTTGATGGGAAAGCATGGCCTGATGGAGGAGGAAGGACATGCACTGCTGGCTGTCAGATGAGCAGATGGAAAATGGAGTGCGGGTTGTTGGATGGGAGGTTTTGGTTCTCCCCATGGCCCAAGGGGTCCGGCTCGTGCGCCTGGGCAACAGAGGGAACGACATCGTATCGTGAATTATTTTTAGAAAAAACACTATTCTTAGATAAAAATTTACGATCAAGCTCCGCTTTTCAGGTCCGGCCAGCGTGGGAGTGGGACCAACCATGGGTGCCCGTGACACTGTGTGCTGCGCCCTGCGAGAGGCGACGGCCGGCCACTTGGGCGTGCCGGGAACCGGCCCCCGGCGGATGGATCGCTGGCTCCACCGCCCAAATCCAGTCCAGATCTGGCGCGCCCTTCCACTAACCCGCTTCCCAACGCCCGAACATGCCTCTACCGTTACTACTGTACGATAGAGAGTCTGATCCACGGCTGCCGTCAGGAACAGTTGCGATCGTGAATACAGTTGCGGTTGGTGAGTTGGAGCTCGGCGGCAGCCGTCCATGTTCCGGCCTTGGGCAACCTAAACCGTTAAACCCCATCCCCTTGTTCTACGAGGGAAACAGGATCGGGAAAAGAAACTGACGGGCAGGTAAAGAAGGGGAAGAGCAAAGGTTAGCGTATAGTACGTGACAGCGATGTGCCGAGCGGGCAAACGTGGTCCGGTCGCTCCGTGCCACGGCCCACATAGTACATCCCAGTTAACCAATCGACCGTCCTGAAATTCCGCACCAGCTAGCTTGTACCGTTGTACGTACGGAGTATAGGCGCGTAGCGTAACCAGATTAGCAGCCCATGGTTGTGTAGTTCGTGAGTAGTCGCTAAAGGACACCTTTGCTAGGGAAGTTATGCTATAATGTAAATATTCTTGTCCTCTTTAGTGTGCTATTGAATAGCGCGTCGTGTGAAAACTATTTTCTACTTAATACAAACATGAACAAACATTTTGCGTATTCGAGAAAAAAAAATTAGACCATTTTTCTACACATACTGCATGTACTGTTCTCTCCTTGGATCGCACTGTACAACTGCTCCTCTCTCGGTTACTCGTTCCCGTCGGTTCCAGTTTCCCACCGTCCGCCCATGGTTTTGCGTTTGGGTTTTAGCCTTTTGGGCAGTGAGAGCCAGCGAGAGGACGGCACCGGCGGGTCTGCTTGCTGGAATGCTGGGACAGATGGCGATGTGCCTGCACTCATTTGGGCTGGTCCGCATATAAGCTCTCTGATCAGGCCTGCCCATATGCCTTCCAGTGTGAAGTAAACTGGGCCCAATAACGTTGAGGATGAATTCCAGTTCCAGGCTTCCAGCATGCGTGACGAATGTTTGTTTCTCCTACTCCTCTGTGTTTCGTTGTGGACGTTGTCAATTATTTCTCTCTATAGTATAAGAAGAAGAAAAAACATTGCAATTTTTTATTAGCATTGACAACTAGGCCTATGAAAGAAACAAGAAACAAGGCTGTTTGTCTAAGAAAGGAGCGATTGATGTGTCCAACAATGTTCAGCTCCAGGGAGTCGCATGTCGTGATTCTTCCTACAACATGGCATGTCGACAGTTACTAGGGAACATGTATGTGCACCAAAATTTCGACAGATCCAAAGCTTGAGGATGAGGAATACAGGTTGGAAGGCATGGTTCCGGATTATAAGAACCAGCATTGCATCAGTCGTCACATAGTTGAGCGAGCCTCCGGCGTGCCGGCCTACCGCCTGCGCACTCGCAGCCTCGCACAAACCAGCAGCTGGCGGCATGCGTCTTTAGCCACCGGGAGTAGTCGTACAGGCGGACGCGGACGGCGGACCGCGGATCAGATGTCCAACCAACGACGGCATGCCGGCTGTGACCACCAGGAGTATTCAGGCAGGCACCTGATGCACGAACCAGACCGCGATACTCCGGAGAGGTACTAACATTTCATTTGATTCACTCATCACCCCTCTCGATCGATCGCCACTGATCACCTGATAACAAGCTAGCATCAACGCTCGCAGGAGGGACTGGGCCAAGCTTCCACGGGACCTTGCGGCGGAGATCGCCGGTCGCCTCCTCGGCATCGACCTGACCGAGTACATCCGCTTCCGCGCGGTGTGCAAGCCGTGGCGGCGGTCCACAGACGACCCGCGCCTCCTCAACAGCCGCTTCTTCCCCCGCAACTGGGTCATGCTCTCCAACTACGGCGAGGACGACACGCGCCGCCGTCTGCTCAACGTCGCCACGGGCGCCTCGATAGTTGACGACTTCCCGGAGCTCTCTGGGCACCACCCATTGGGATACGCCGAGGGTCTTCTCGTCCTCTTCAACACGGCGACATCCGGCATCCGCCTCTTCAACCCGCTCACGCGCGCGGTCACCGACCTCCCAGGCTTCTCATCCTGGTCCTCCACCTCGGTCAGCGCGCTCAAGGTCGCGACGGATGGCACAGTATTGTCCTACGGGGGTTTCGGCATCATCGACGACGGTGGCACCGCGGCCTCCCCGACGACGGTGGTGCTTTTTCTGTCTGCTCAATTGAAGGTCCCGCTACTCGCCTTCATCAGGCCCGGGGAATCACACTGGGCTCTCGCTGACACGAGCGAGCTGACTTGCAGAGCGTACCAAGTGTCCGTGCTCTCGCTGCACGGCCGCTTCTACCTGTCGACGTCCACGGGAGACGTGCTGACCATGGAGCTCCACCCGGAGCCCCGGCTGGTGCACCTGGTTAGGAAGACGGCGACCCCCACGACCACCACTGTTCCGGCCATTTGCTCCTTCTATCTTGCCCCGTCCGGCAACGACGACGGCGCCGGGATGCTCATGATCATGGTGCACGCCAGCGGAGAAGACGAAGACTATGGTGAACAAGTTGAGGTGTTCGAGGTGGACGTCGACGGACGCAGGCTCATTCCTAAGAGCACCGTGGGTGCTGACCGCGCTCTGTTCGTTGGGTCAGTCCGGGCGCTGTCCATCTCCACCAAGTTGTTTCCCTCCATCGCCGCCAGCGCTAATGCGGTGTACTTCTGCCATGGACAAGGATCCAGGAGGAATCTGTTCCACGTCTTCCACATCGATAATGGGCACGCAGAACCGGCGGTCGAATTGGAGTTCTTTGAGCAGATGCAAGGGCGAGAAGGGCGTTTCTTCGGCCCATTCAACCTCGACGTTTATCTAGCTTGCTGCGTGGATGTGGCGTTCGGAGCCTTTGGGATCTGAGCGGACATCCGGTTGCGTTTATCTATTTTGATTCCGCTATATATAGCGCGTATAGTGCTAGCACTTTGGAGCTAGCACTTTTTTTTTCTACAGTGTCTGAGCACGTATTTCATTCTGCCTCCTTACAGGGTTGGTGTACTTCTTGGTTCCTCTTAATTTCTAGGCAATTAATTAGCGCTAAATAATTTTATGAGTGGAATGTTAATATGGTAATTGTGGCTCCACCTCCCCCGCTACCCCTCCCCCACGCGCACCCGAACCTGCACGCCTCACCCACACGCACCCAAAGGACGCGAGGCTTCCCTGCCCTCGGCCTTAGCCGTGGCCGCCTCGCCCTTGACCTCGCCACCGCGCAGCGCCGCCGCCACCGGTCTGCCCTCGCCACCACCGGTCGCTCCTCCCTCCTCCCCCCGGCACCCCTCGCCCACGCGCACCCAAATCCCATCGCGGCGACAGAATATCTCGTCCTCCGCGACACCCATCGCAATAGCTCGGCATCTGCATCTCGGCCTCATCGCCGTCGTGCGCGCCCACTGTCTGCCGCCCTGCAGCACCGACTCCGCCTCATCGCCGTCGTGCGCGCCCACCTTCCGTCGGCCTGCAGCACCGATGTGGCAGAACCGCCCGAAATAGCACGCTTGCGGAGGCGCTCGTCTTCCACCAGACACTAAGCACCCCGAAAGCAGGCTACAGCGGGCGGTATCCGTCAGGCATGCCCCGAGGGAGAACCCGAAGATCCACATTTTTCCCAAGGATCCAATAATAAAAACGAGTTACAACACTTGTCCATCACAAACGTGAGTCTTACTATCCTTGTTAATTCCAAATATCTCATTCAATAATTGTTATATGACAGTGCACTATTTTCACTTGTATAGACACAAATGCAAGGATTTAAGCAGAGAATATGCACGAGGTTGCTCCTTTCTGATCGCAACATGAGACGACAACAATCATACCAAAATTCTATCACAGTCTGAACTTTTAATTCGTATTAAAAATGATCCAGATGCATCAACTTATACCAGACTGTACAAAATATGCTGGGTCTAACATTTTTCTTGATGATTCTTAGGAGGAAGAGTACTATGCAAATAATCCGGATGAACAACGACAGCACGAACAGACTGAAAATTCAAGCGATGTTCAAATAATAGAGACTAAAACTCCAAACCCTGAGGCCAGCACGAAAGAAGGGAAAGGAACGAAAGGAATATGATCTGAAAAAATGAATAGGAGCTCAAAATAGGAAAAGAGAACGACCGCCAACGAAATTAGTTGTCAATACTCCTCCTACTGCCGCAGATGAATTTAGTAGCGAATCTATCGCTAAACGAGTTCAAAGGGCCAAGTATCCAGGGAAACAGCAGACCAGCCCTTTTAGGCCTTTTTAGAACTAATGTGCTATCTATATTTGATCTTTAGTTTGTCCAGATGGCTAGAACAATGTGTGTTCAGACCTAAACGATGTGCTGAACTAAATTCATGTGTGTTCAGGCGCAAATACTTAGTCAAACATTTTCTTCAGCAATTCATGTGTGAAACTACTAGCGAGTAAAGAGTTAAAACTTACATTGTGTTTAGTTGTCTGATAATTTTTTTCTCCAGCAGTTGTCTAAAACCTCTGTATGTGTCAACATTAAACTCGTTTGCACAATGCTGCAACTCAACTGAGGCTCATGCTACTGGCGCTAGTTTAGGCTCATTATCACATCATATCACTGAAACTTGCCATGCTATACTCACAAATCCAAAGAAGCATTCAGACTCACTAAGTAGTGTGCCTAACATTTCCAAGCCAATTTAACATGTCATTCTCAAACAAAAAGGAGCATTCAACCTCGCTAAGTCATGCACCTAACATAACCATGCTAACTTATTATGCTACTATCAAAAACAAAAAGCAGCATTCAATCTTCTTAGTGAGATATTTCAGTAATATCACCATCGTCATCCATCAGCTGCTCTCTCATCTCTGACCTTAAGTGAAAATATGGATTGGAATATTGAAAAAAAGTTTTAAAAGGATCCCAGCAAGCAAAAGCATCATTATGACCATACTTTTACCTTCTGGACTCTCCTTGTCAATGCAACCAGCTTGCCAAATTATCAGCATCGGACTCGTTCCATGTTGATGGAAATAATTTTTGCTGTCAGCTCATCTTGTAATGGGTAAGCTTCAGCCTCTAATTCAATAGCCTGAAAAAATAGTGCAATCACTTTATTTTTAATGATGATCCACCAAATCATTATCAGTAACATTGGACATAACTAAAAGTACACAAGCTGATAATGCGGTATGGGTAAGTTCACTATAAATATGGATACGTACCATTACTAATTTGGCTATTTGATAATCGACAAGGCTAATAATTACAAAACCGGACATGATAGTAGACTGATAGTGTTTATCAGACATATACAGTAGCCCAGTGAAAGGGTTCAAAGTACTAAGTGGGCTCGACTCGTCACAGGCTAACATCACTTCGAGATGACCAAGCTAATCAAGCTCAGATCAATATGAAATTGCAGGTTTAATGCAGTGATTGCTAGTGTCTGCTGCTGCTGCTGCATCGTCGTCGTAGTAGTAGTAGTGCTAAAAAGTCTGCTTTTGATGCAAGGAGCTTTGGTCTGTAGTAGTATATAGCATTTGCTCATAGTGCAGTTGCAGTGTAACAATTCCAAGTGGCACCTACCTTTAGGGACAAGAGACATAATATACTTTGATAGCACAACTAGATAGTTTTCTGATGTAGTAACTATCTTGTAGAACCTAGGATAGAAAGGGTCAGCTTTCAGTCAAAAGGACAATCCAAAGGAACTTTTATTGATTTAAAATGTAATAAACAAAAAAGCAAAGCACCAGGTATAACATATAATTTGGTACTATCATACTGCGACCTTAATAACTGTTACTAAGTACAAAACTGGTGATTTTATTATGTTCTCTCTATGAAGACAGCTTTACCACACTTTGGAAATTGGAAAGTTACTGATAACCTAATTTGTGTTAACTGGTACCTATATCATGTGGACAAGTAATCTAGTACATATTACAACTTGAAAATTCTATTAGTAATTCGGTCGGCTCTTGTTCTTTTCTCCCATCTTTTGTCCGCGGTCGGCTCTTGTTCTTTTCTCCCATCCTGTCGAACAGTCCTATGACATGAGGCTAAAACCTAAAAAAACTGAAAAGGGCAGGGACTGACTGGAGGCAGAGCATGCTCACATGGTGACAGCAGCAGCTAGCTGGACCCTGTAGATGTTGCTGTTGATGGATTCGAGCACGAGGAGGTCGCCGGCGGGGGTGATCTCGACGGCGTACGGCTTGATCCCCAGCTTGCTGCCGTCGAACACGGCGGGGGTGATCTGGACGGCCTGCGTCTCAATCCCCAGCTTGCTGCCGTCAAACACCGTGTCCACCACGTACCGGCCCTCGTAGCGCACCATGGACAGCTCGCACCCTCCCGGCAGCGGGGATGGCCACTGCCTCGGCGAACGGGGGCGCGGACGCCGTCGGGCCCAGATCTCCCCTCCTCCACCGTCTTCGTGGCGGCCGATTTGAGCGACCTCGGACCGCCACGTCCGCGGACGCGCGCACCACGCCGCCCGCACCCTCCCAACAGCTGGGACAGCCGCCGCCGCCGTGAACAGGAGCGCGTACGCCGCCGGGTCCGAATCTCGCCTCCTCCACCGCCTTTCCCGGATCTACGCGGTGCCGCCGTTCACGCGGGGACTGGTGAGAAGCTTCGCATGCTCTGGCCGCCCTTCCCCTCGCCCTGGTAGCCGGTGCCGCCGTAGCCCTGCCTGGCCCTCGCCCTCGCCCTGGTAGCCAACGCCGCCACATCACACACACTTGGTTAGAAGGAAGAACAGACAGACGAGAGTGGCTAACGTTGAATTTGAGAAATAAACATTTTACAGACTATACTACTTCAATCATTCCTATACTACTCAAAGATTATTTTACTATTATAAATTTACTATTCTACCCTTAATTACATAAAACAATTTCGAAAACAGAATTATCTCATCTTTTCTTAAGGGATGATCCCACCAATTTTAGTATGCACTTGGTATGTATGGTCCCACCATTTAATATACACTCGGTGCCTATCTAATTGGTTTCTCTTGGTTCCTCTGTCTTTTTAGCCGTCGAATCGGCCCTCGTGAGCCGTCCATTTTCCGACAACCATCGTAAAAATTCTCTTTTCATTAAGAGGAAGTAGAAAAATATTAGAAGGCAGGCTGCAGTAACCAGGCGGTTACCGCGATGAACGCCAAACAACGAAAAAAAAGATGAATAACACGAGAGCTTAAATTACATAAAGAAAGTCAACCAAATGCGATAGCTTGACGAGGCAAATTGCCTACACGTCGTCGTGCTCCAGCCCATCGGCCAGTACTACTTCCCTCCAAGTCCGCTCCAGTCGGGAACAGCGTCCGGATCGCCTTGCGCTTGGACGCGGACATCGGTGCCCCAAACACGGCATGGTATTCATCAAGAGGCTATCGGCTGAGAAGACTGGCGCTGCAGACCCCATTTCATCATCATACTACCTATGTTCCTAAAAAATATAATTCTAGCTTTTTAGGACGCGTTTAGTTCCCAAAATTTTTTAGGTTTGGCTACTGTTTGGCAACTGTAGCACTTTCATTTGTATTTGGTAATTAGTGTCTAATTATGGACTAATTAGATTCGAAAGTTTCGTCTCGCGATTTTTCACCCAACTGTGCAATTAGTTTTTTTTCGTCTACATTTAGTACTCCATGCATGTGCCGCAAGATTCGATGTGATATTTTGAAGTGAAAATTTTTGAAATCTAAATAGGGCCTTACTAGACCAATCATAGATAAAAAAAATATCCATGTTTATGATACTAAATAAATACCATCAGATTAACTACGAAATATATTTTTATAATAAATTAATTTAAAGACATAACTGTAAATATTATTTATTAAATACTTAGTGAAACGTGAACCATTTTTTATGACACGCAATCCATAGTTATATTTTTTTTCCGGACTGAGGTTACATTTTGTGCCTGCACCGTAGGGTTGGACACCCTGCTCTTACTCTTCGCTGCAAGTCTTCTACTCCTTCGTGGCGACATCAGGCGCCCGAACGACTAGCGCTTCTTCGCGACACGCTGTCGAGGCAGCTCGGAGAGGACGGAGGATTGGATGGGCACACAAATCTTACCAAGGAGGTCAGCCACCGCAGATGTCGTCGGCTTCGGCAGTGCAGACGGCGGCGACGATAGCTGTGCGGCGTGATCGTCCGAAAAAGTACTCGACGCCGTCATTGAGCATGGATCCGCCACACCCTCCCTACAAGCAAACAACGACCCAGGGCGCAGAGAGGCATCCACTTCAGCCATTATAGGATCCAAGGCCTGGCACGGAGCCTCCAAACGACGGTCCACCGCGAACTCTGGCTCCCAACATGCTAAATCCATCCGTTCAGCGCATCCCTGCAAAGAAATAGCTGGTGAATCCGGCTTTGACATCACGCCCCACTCACAGGACTTGGGATCCCACGAGATGCCAAGCAACTGTGTGCTGGTCAGGACCATGGCCTCAAGATCTTGTGCTGGAGCGACCGTCGTCGATCGCACGCATTGCTGCAACGGCGCCTGCTGCCCTTGACGGACGGGCGAGAACGGTGGCACGTGACGACCAGGCTGGCCCTCTCGGACTTCAAATCCCACCAACGAGCATCCGATGGACCCCACCGCGACGAAATTGTGAGGGCTGAATGACTGGCCCCACCCTGGCCCTAGCGACGGGCCGGCCTCCCCGCCGCTGGCTCCTTCGGGTAGGGGAATGACATGAGCGGAAGGGTGGCCTCCCGGCTCCGGAGACAGAGTGCGGCGCCCTGGCTGTGGCAACGATCGGCGGTGCCGGCCTGGAACCACGACATGGCTGCCTGAAGCGGACCTGCTGTCCGTTGCCGGCATCCGTTGCGTCGGAACCACTGGAGGCAGCCGTGCGCCGTCACATGCAGTCGCACGCAATGTGTCGGAATTCGCGGTAGCGCAAACAGCGTTGGGGCAGCCTACAAGGTGCCACGCGGTGGGAGGAAGAGAGATAGTTGAGGCACTTGTCGTGCAAGTCCAATACCATTGAGATGAATTCCAGTTCGAGGCTTCTAGCATGCTTGACCAATGTTTCTCGCTGCGTTGTGGACATTGTAAATTCTCTCTCTCTATATATAATGTTCCCTACGTCTCCCTAAAGAATGTAAATCTCGCTTTACGAGAATCAAAAAAATCTTATGTTTGACTAAGTTTATAAAGATATTATCTCCATTTAGAACTCCAATTAAGTTTATTATGAATATATATTTCATAATTAATCTAATGATACTTACTATTACACGTCATAAATATCAATATTTTTTACATATATTTGATCAAAATTAAGAATCTTTGACTCCTCGGAAAGCGAGATTTACATTTTTTTGGACCGAGGTAGTAAGAAAAAAATTGCAATTTTCTGTTAGCATTGACAACTAGGCCTATATATATGTGACAGAAACAAGAAACAAGGGTGTTTGTCCAAGAGAGGAGCGAGTGATCTGTCCAACAATGTTAAGCCAGTTCCAGAGAACAGTTGTCGCATGTTGTGATTCTTCATAGAACATGGCATGTGGACAGTTACTAGGGAACATATATGTGCACCAAAATTTCGACAGATCCAAAGCTTGAGGATGAGGAATGCAGGATGGAAGCATGGTTCTGGATTAGTATAAGAACCATCATCAGCAGTTCAGCAGAATGCATGGTTCTTGACGCCCAAGACATGGCCATGGGACATTCTGCACTTTCATCAGTCCTCTCATAGTTGAGCGAGCCTCCGGCGTGCCGGCCTGCGCGCTCGCAGCCTCGCACAAACCAGCAGCTGGCGGCATGCATGATGCATGTTTAGCCACCGGGAGTAGTCGGGGCGTCGGGCAGGCGGATCCGCTGATCAGATGGCCAACCAACGACGGCATGCCGGCTGTGACGTTGTCAGGCCCCTCACGCACGAACCCGACCGGCGAGGAGACGGCGATGCTCCGGAGAGGTACCAGCATTTCATTTGCGCTCATCATCCCTCTCGATCGTCACTTATCACCTAATGACAAGCTAGCATCAACGCTCGCAGGAGGGACTGGGCCAAGCTTCCACGGGACCTTGCGGCGGAGATCGCCGGCTGCCTCCTCGGCATCGACCTGAGCGAGTACATCCGCTTCCGCGCGGTGTGCAAGCCGTGGCGGCGGTCCACAGACGACCCGCGCCTCCTCAACAGCCGCTTCTTCCCCCGCAACTGGGTCTTGCTCACAAACTACGGCAAGGGCGACCACACGCGCCGCCATCTGCTCAACGTCGCCACGGGCGCCTCTATCGTCGACGACTTCCCGGAGTTCTCCGGGCGCCACCCGCTGGGACACGCCGAGGGCCTCCTCGTCCTCTCGAACACGGAGACATCTGGCATCCGCCTCTTCAACCCGCTCACGCACGCGATGACGGATCTCCCGGACGTGTCCTCCTCCACCTCGATCAGCGCGCTCAAGGCCGAGACGGGCTTCGGCACAGGATTGTACTACAGGGGTTTCGGCGTCATCGACGGCGGCGGCGGCGGCGGCGCGGCCTCCCCGCCGACGGTGGTGGCTTTTATTTCTGGGAAGGTCCCGCTGCTCGCCTTCATCAGGCCCGGGGAATCGCACTGGGCTCTCGCCGACACGAGCGCGCTGACCTGCGGAGCGCACCAGGTGTCCGTGCTCTCGCTGCGCGGCCGCTTCTACCTGTCGACGTCCACGGGAGACGTGCTCACCGTGGAGCTCCACCCGGTGCCCCGGCTGGTGCACGTGGTTAGGAATAGGAAGACAGCACCCCCGGCGACGACCACCACGGTTCCGGCCACCATCTGCTCCTTCTATCTTGCCCCGTCCGGCAACGACGACGCGCGGGATGCTCATGATCATGGTGCACACCAGCGGAGAAAACGAATTCGATGAACATGTTGAACAAGTTGAGGTGTTCGAGGTGGACGTCGACGGACGGAGGCTGATTCCGAAGAGCACCGTGGGCGCTGACCGCGCTCTGATCATCGGGTCAGTTCGGGCGCTGTCCATCTCCACCAAGCTGTTTCCGTCCATCGCTGCCAGCGCCAATGCGGTGTACTTCTGCCATGGACAAGGATACAGGGGGGAACTGTTTCGCGTCTTCCACATCGATAATGGACGGACTGAACCGTTGGTCGAATTGGACTTCTTTGAGCAGATGCAAGTGCGAGAGCGTTTCTGCGGCCCATTGAACCTCGACATTTATCTAGCTTGCTGCGTGGATGTTTTCTTTTTCTGTTAGAAAATGGAAAAATTCCGGCCTCTGTGCTGCGTGGAGTTGGCTTGTACGGAGTACTATGTTAGTCGAGCATAATGCGTACGTGCTCACCTAATCGTTTGGTCGTTTTCGTTGCTGGATGTCTTCTTAGGCTTGGTTTGGATGGACTGAGTATTGGCGTGGTTCGAGCCCCAAACCACGCGTGGCGTGGAATGAAGCCCACGTCGGGGCGAGATCCCCGCCCAACCCAATATTGCATTTGGCTGGCCGAGTGTTGCCGTGGATCGTGGACCGATACACGTCGACACACGGGGGCCGGAAAAATCCCCACCCGACTCTTGGAACGTTGCACGCTCGCGACTCGTCACCTCACGTGCGAGCGCCGCAGAGGCAGACCCTCACGCGGAAGCGGGAACGGGTGTACCACGTGGATCAACCCATTCCACGCGTGGAGGATATCACACGTGAGTTATTTCCACAAACAGCCAAACGAAGCCTTAGGCTAGTTTCACCCTGTTTCTGATGAGCCTTTGTTAGAAAAAGGGGGAATGCTCGGCCCAATCCCCGTACGTGACATGGAAAAAAATCGGCCTGTTTCTGTTCCAGCCGGGCCAGCAAATGTAACATGCAATGTAACACCTTCTCTATTGTCTTAAAAAAACAATTGGACTAGCATCGTTTTTACTTTGTTTTTGTTTGTATAGAATTTTGTAAATCCCCACAGAAAGAAATGACCTCCTTGCAAGACATACAATTGTGTATTGTCTGTCATGAACAATCAAAATGTGGTCACATATAATTGGGTACACATGTCAGTGCTATAAACTGCTCTTTGCCACAATGGTACCATAGCTACGCAATAAGTTATGCAAAAGAAGTACTATAGCTCCTTAATGACATCAAGTTATTAAAAGCAAGTGAATTGCACTGCAATGTCAATCCTAAAGGGTGATACAACTCAGTTGGGATGAGTGGCGGATGCAGAACAGGATTGAAGGGGGACTGGTCTCTCTTCTTCTTCTTCTCTCTCTCCATTTTTCTTCTCCCTCACCCTCCCCATATTTCCATTGATACACCAGCTCTAGGGGGGCTGGAGCCCCCCCCCCCAGCCCCCCTGTGGATCCGCCCCTGGTTGGGATCCTGGTGGTCTGTATGTGTTGCATAAATTGGTTGCCTGCAACAAGAAGCATAGTCTCATTTTTTGGCTTCGGTTATTTTCGTGGCCTTCCGATCATGGTATTTGGTCTGTCGCTACTATTGTGAACTTGGACAATGTATATGTCGAGATACTCAATGTTGTTACCCAGCAGCTAAATTGATTGTGCCAACAGCAACATGGGAAACCCTAAGCATTACGATGACCAATTCATCAAAAATACGTGGGATTCTACTGAAGATGATCAACATGTTTCTTGCACATGTTTATCATTCACTAGAGTCCTACAGCTATTTATAAGAACGGTTACCAGATCAATTTCTCTACTGGGCACGGGTGATAAAATTGAGAGGTATAAGTATTCAGAATATGTTGCTCTATGCTTTGGCATGTGGACTGCAGCAAGGTGTTATTATAGAATAACACTTGAGTTCGAAGCCAAGCAGCAAAGGGGTGGTCATTTATGTGGCTATGCAATACTAATACAAGCTGGACTACAATCTACAAGAACATAAGAACTCCTTGCCATGCAGCGTGTGGACCACGCCAAAGGTCCATCAACGCCATGTTTGTCGGGACAGAAGGCCTACGAAAGGCTCTTCGAAGCTAACCTGACTGCGTCCAACATCGAAGTACTGGGTGCGCTCTTCGCGGATGACGGTGAAGGCTTGTGCAAGTAGCAGCAGAGACGCAAGGCCACCTCTTAGGTTGCATCGCTGTGTTTGTATCAGTTGTTTCCATTTGTGTAATATCAAAACTTGAGTTCGCTTGCCAGGATGGTCTAGCCATGGCTGTTTTAGGTCAATCTCTCCTAGGGCGCTCAACAGAAGCACGTTATTTGTATGTTTAAACTCTTCTACCTTAATTACAAGGATGCACAAATCTTTTACGAATTCAAGGAAAAAAGAACATTAGAAGATCCCTGTAGCAGCTTGAGGGCAAGCTACATTTTAAAATTGGGGACTGTCATGGATTAGGATGTGAGGCTGTCAATCTGCCAAGTGGACCGAAACTATCTAGCTAATCCTCTTGAGCGCTCCTAATTACTCTTTACAAGCCTTGGATGAGACCAACACGATTACGTTTTCACCAAGAAGAGAACCCACGACAACGTAGGGGGAGCGCCCATACCTAACGCCTCAAGAAGGAACATGGCTTTCGAAGATGTCACCATCATCCAACCGTCGTATGGACAGAATATGACTTTCGCCTAATGCACCCCCTAAAGTCAATGAAGCGTGTTCCATACCACACCATCTCCAAACATCATGAACCAATGCACTGCCGTTGCAGTACACCAATGATCGCAGCGTCTTCGAAGCGTCTCCCGTACTACACTGTCCCTGAACGCTAGGACCAACAAAGCCACTACGCCACCATCGCAGTATTCTAACCCGTGTCATGACAGAACCTTGCTGATGAGGCGCGCCCCAAACCAATGCCTACACCGTGAATGCCCGGAGCCTGAGCCCCAACCGTGCCCCCATCGCAGCATCTAGCACACACGCCACAACATATAGCCTCTCCAAAGTTCCAAAGTCAATGAAGCATGTTTCATACCATGCATCATCGTTGTTGCTGGCCATGTCATGACGCCACCAGGTCTACCTGAGGGCAGATACATAATTATTAGGCCACTAGGCAATCCCATGTCACCTCTCGCCAATCTGGTTATTAAACACCACCAAACCACATCCAATTAGGGAGGATGATTCTTGCAAAGAAAAAAATAGAGCGGACGTATTAAATATAGACAAGCTTAGTATCTTTAAACTAAAAATATTCTAAAAGTTAATGATAGTGAAAATTTTAATAAAAATGATGTTGTCACTTTGTCAGGGCGTTCGATCGTCCAGAGGTCACAACACAAGCCCAATGATCCAACATTCGTATCTTGAAAGTGCAATCAAGCCCTAATTGTGGGTTTTGATGATAATGACCATGCAATTAGAGAACTAATGAGATTTATCGAGATGACAAGTAGGGAATTTATATTCGAGGATGCTACACGAAACGGAGGAGCCCCCAATGACAAATATAGATGGCTTCAAACTCAAAAGAGGTTTAAAATTCTTTTATATCTTGAATTTGAGTATAGAAAAACCATACTATAAAGGGGGACACAATGGTTAAGCTAATATGTGCTACCAAGTGCTCAAACAACCATAAGCATCCTCAGATTCATAGCCAAGACAGTCTACACTTCACTATTATCTTTGCTGTCTTACGGGGTGCGAGCTCTGACTCGCCCGACCCCTTGGGTGTGAGCTTCGACTCGCCCGACCCCTTGGGCGCGGGCTCGGTTCGCTCGACCCTTTGGTCGCGGGCTCCGTCTCGCCCGACCCCAAAATCGCGGGCTCCGGCTCACCCAACCCTTTTGTCGCGGGCTCCGTCTCGCCCGACCCCAAGGTCACGGGCTCCGGCTCGTCCGGGCCTTTGGTCACGGCCTCGTCTCGCCGACCTCTTGGGTGCAGTGTCCGTTGAGGGCTGGGGGTATATATACCTTTCCTTTTCTTCCCCAACGGCTATCTGCGATTTATGTGACCGTTGGGGGCTTGGGGGTATATATACCTTTCCCCTTCATTTCCAACGGTAACCAACCTGCTCTCTTCTTCCTCATTTCAGCAGCTCAAAACAGAGCAGGAGCTCTCTCTCTCTCACTCCATTGTTGACCTAAAGCCCCTAAGTAAATCCATTGATTTCCACATCAATCTTTGAGGGAAAAGGGTCCACAACTTGATTAGAGAGCAACTCCATGTTGCCAACTTGTGTGGCAACCCCGGAAGGTTTGTAACCACCTCTTGCAGCAAGTAAAATCACCCCTCATCTCAAGAGTCCACTCTCTTGACTTGAGAACGAGGTAGGGTTGCAAATCCCTAAGCCTTAGTGGTATACCTCAACAATGTAGATATAGGCAAGCCTTGGTGGCGAGCTGAACCATGGGATAAATCATTGTGTCATCTTGTGCTTGTGTTGCTTCACTTGTGTTCTTGTTGTTGTTGAGGTGATTTCTAGAGTTTGAGGCCGATCTACTTGTGTGTGGTGTTCCCACCACTTTTAGCTATCAATCTGTGATCTACTACCCTACAGAAAGCTAAGAAATCTACCCGATCTAAATTTCGTTGGGTAGATTTTGAACTGTAAACTAATCTCTCCTGCAGGTGCGGCAGTGCCGCGGGTGAATTTGACTTTGGTTTGAGTTAAATTTTTACATGAAATGGAGGAGCCCCCAATTACAAATATAGATGGCTTTAAACTCAAAAGAGGTTTAAGATTCTTTTATATCTTGGAATTTGAGTATAGGAAAAGTCATACTATAAAGGGGGATACAATGCTTAAGCTAATATATGCTACTAAGTGCTCAAACAACCACAAGCATCCTCAGATTCACAGCCAAGACAGTATACACTTCACTATTACTTTTGCTATCTTGCGGGGTGTGAGCTCCGACTCGCCCGACCCCTTGGGTGCGTGCTCCAACTCGCTCGATCCCTTGGGCACAGGCTCTGGTTCGCCCGA